AGATTAGTTGTTGGAGATATTGACTTCTTGTGGACGCACGGAATAGATACAGAAGATGGGAGAAATGTGAAAGGATCTATTGCTTATTTTTCTTTTGATAACCTCGGTATAAATTTGGCGTACGGCTTAGTGGCGTGTTTTAAGGCACAGTTTTTCTGTCGTTTTTGTGTAATGCCAATTTAAGATTGCCGATTCAAGTGCCGAGAAGATCCATCAAAACGTCGAACGATTGACTCGTATAACAGAATCGTGGATCGTATAGAAAATTCGACTAAAGTTGACTATAAAGAAACTCGTGGTATTAAAATGAAATGCGTTCTTAACGAACTGCAACATTTTCACATTTTAAAGAACTTGTCTGTTGATCCCATGCACGACTTGAACGAAGGAGTTGTTCCATTTGCCCTCAAGCAATTGTTCCTGCACATAATTCGTGCCAAAATTTTATCTGAAGAGGAACTAACAAAAAAAATTCAGTACTTTGATCACGGATTTCTGAACCAGAGAAATATTCCATCAGAAATCTCCTTTGATAAAGCCAATTTGGGCCAAAACGCTACTCAAAGTCGTTGTTTACTTCAAAATACACCATTTATTTTTTGGGAGTATCGCGAAAATGAAAAGCTAGTAGAACTATGGACATGTATCAAGAGTCTCTTACGTATTTTCTCAATTTGTTACTCGCCAGAAATTAATCGAACGCAAATTGAATTGTTACGTGAAGAAATAGCTATCCATTTGATAGCCATAACAAATCTTGGACTCACTTTCATCGCAAAGCACCATTTTCTCACTCATTATCCTACAATTATGGAGGAAATGGGACCTTCAGTCTTCATGTGCATGTTTGCTTTTGAGAGAAAGCACAAATTACTGAAAAAGTTGATGGTTGATAATTCAAATTTTACCAATATTCCGTACACAATTGCAAGAAAGCATCAAGAACATTTGTCCGAAGTGGAAGATAGCTTTAGGGAAAAGATTATAACTGCAGAGCCCAAAAATGTATCCGCGTCTCTAGTAAACTCACACGCTTACAGTATTGTTGAAGATTCGATTGGAAATTTGGTAGTAAAACAAGAAGTTAAGTTTTTAAAATACTGTAACCATTACTATAAACAAGGGCTGTTTGTTTTTGATAATAAACAATTTCACGAAATTCACCACATTTTAAAGATAGAACAAAAATATTACTTATTGTGCGTTCGATTTGAAATTTTACTATTCAATGAATTTCTAAATAGTTTTGAGATAGAACAAACGCCAGATCTTATTTATAATTTGATTGAGTTTTCAATTTTAAAACACAAAATTGTATACGAGAAAAAAAAATTGGGTAATTCCTTGTATATTATATGTGATTCGATTTCTTTAATAACATTGGTAGCTGCAAATTGAAATTCGGCCTAAAAATCAATGAGAAAAGAATCTTTGAAACTATATTTTTAAACATTGTCTAAATAAAGAAAGCTTCGATCAAAGTTTAAACATCCCACATTTTATTTGTCTTTTTTTTTGGTTTCATGTACTTTTTAAAAGAAAAATAGTTAAAGAAAAAAATGAAAAAAAACATAGAAAATAACGGTAAATTTCTCTCATATTACTACTGCATTGAAAATGCTTCAGATTACCGTAAACATATCACTAGATAACCCGTTGAATATCACATTAGCTGATTTTTGGTTTATGAAAATATTTGTACCGATATATAAATATATATATTTATGTATTGCTTTCACTCTAACTAATTTAACGAGATCATTCAGTAAAATTATGAAACTGAACATATTTTTTGCAAACATTTATCCGGGAGCAGCACGTTGGTCATAAAAACATACACATTAATCAGTCATTGAAGTTTTTCAAGATAATTCTGCATGAAAGCAGTGCTGCTCCTTCCTTTTCGCAAATTGAAAATCAAACGTTAAACAAACAAGGCCATATTCTCCAAAACCTTGTCAAATTCCAGACCAAGTACGAAATGTAATTTGAAAAAAACATCGAAGGTTTGTATGATGTTATGGCCAGGCGGAAGCTAAAAAAATCAAAACATTTTTCTGTGAAAATATTGATTATTTCAAGTTGAATTTTAAAATTACCGGGATCAAATGGCGCTCGGCTTCAATGTAAAATGATATGATTTCCCTTTGAGACGTTCCATAAGCCACAATGTATGGGTGTTGGTTACCTTTTTCAATCATTTCTCCAGGAGTAGTGCCACTCTGAAACAATACATTGCTCATAAACACAAACGGAACGAAAAAAAAATTACCAAAGAACTTACGACACGGAACACAATCAATTTTCGCATCGATTCATGCAGAGGCAAACGATTAGTTTTCGATGGAAAGACATGCAATAACAGCAACAAACTTTCGATATCTTGATTCCAATCAGTTGCTATGTTTTTGTCCACGATTTGCCGTAATTTCAAACCATACGTCGGCCAATTGTCAAGAAATGCTGTGGTGTCACACGCAAGTGTCGGATTATTAGCGAAATCCAACACAATCTTAAAATTGTCTAGAAAAACTAACATCAGTCTCTTATTAAGGAATAATAAAAAAAGTCCATACCAAACGTGGTTCTTCGAAGAAAAATGGAAATGACATGCGCAAATCTACATTTTCATCGCGCATCATTTCTTCTCTCAGCTTCTGTGTGGACTTCAGTTTACTGATAAGAACACGTTCGTCGGTATTTTTGACAACACAACTTTTTAAGAACTGCAAATCATCCTCTGGAGATAGTTGTAGTTGAGCCAATTGAGATGAAACTTGGTCAAGATTCTGAGCATTAGCTTGAGCATTCAATTCATTTCGTTTTGATTTCAAGTACTTGAGACGAACACTGAAAAAACCATGGGATCCCAATAACTTTCCCTAAAGAAGAACGAAAAAGTACATTAGTGTCATGGAGAGATTTTGCGCAAAATTTGTATACCAATTCATCGGTTGGATCACTTGATTTCAAACCCTCAAACAGAATTATGGTGACCCGAGCGGTTTGCGCTTTCTGCTGTTTTGACACTTGTGAAGGGTCTCCCTTCCCAAAGGCCTCAACCATGAAGTCAACTATGCAGTTGACTATTTGCATCCGAACTTTGTCGTCCAACACTTTAATGGCTTTGTTCAACAACAGTCCCGCTTTGTTTTGTCGACGGAAAAAACTGGTTAACATCTGCAAATTTACACATCAAAACAAATATAGCAAACAAACGGAAAATTCTATAAGACATTCAATTTTACCGATTCGGTGACCACAGACACATTTCCTTGCAGTGAGCTGCTTATTTGATATTCGACATTGATGTAAAACATACTTCCACTGTGAAATCTTTTCACAATTTCGGCTAACATGTGTTTTGGTATGGGAAAACCGAGGTTGTCAGTCAATATTAATCCTGAATGAGGCACATCGCCGAACTTGATGCCGAATATATTGGCAACTGAAATTGATATATTTTTTTATTTCCAATAAACATTCCAGTCATAATAAACAGTTCGCAGCAGTTCACACATACCTTTTTCGGGAAAATCTTTGACATTCAATTCGTTCTCGGAGAACTCAACGAACATAGACTTGTTTTGGCACATGACTCTCACTATGTATGTTTTATCCAATTCCATTTCTTTTTCTTTGTCATCACACTCAATATTATAGCGACATCTATTATTAAAATAGCTTGTAGTAAACGCATTCATAGCATTTCACTGTAGTTGCGATGTTACCTATTAAATTCCCCTGTGGTATGTAGTTAACAAGTGTCAAACATGAATGTGTCAGTACTACAAGGGAGCTTAATAGGAAACATCGCAACTACAGGGAAATGCTATAAATGCATTTACTACAAGCTATTTTAATAATAGATGTCGCTATAATATTGAGTGTGATTGGCCACAGAATTTGTGGAATCAGATTCCATTTTAGACACACACAAAACACATTCGAAGACAAATATAAATAAATCACTTGAATTGATCGCAGTCACCGAGCCGTTGTTATGCGTTGACAGCTCATTTATATGTTCATTTGACACTTGGTTTCAAATTGGTAAACAAATGGGACAACTTTCGTAAAGTTGTCCCAAAATATGGATGGATTGTTATATTGTCCAAAAATTAGCCATCTATTGGAAATTTTTGGTATCTGTGTACCAAAGTGGTATCACCCATATGGCAATGCATGAAAATTGCCATATCATTGTGAAGGAAAATCACGTGCCAGTCGAAATTTGTCTGGCTGACACGCAAGAACAATCGGTTTGTTTTGTTGGCATCAACAAATTGCACGGTCGGATGTTGTCGATATACATGTGGCACTACTTCATGTATGGCACCTGTCCATGTGCATCCTGAATTTGTGATTGGGCATGAAATGCACCGGTGCTGGCATTCAACTTCGTGCTGCACGATATTGGCCGGTAACATCTTTATGGCACAGCCACGAATTTCGTGCTTGCATGGTCGGGGAATGAATATTTGATTCAATCGAATGAAACGATTATCACACAAATCATTGAGGGGGACCCGACACTCTGGGCATTTCAATTGGCAACCTTTGCGGTAGGAATCGAGTCGCAATCTTTCAAAACACTGTCCGCACACGTGATGTTCTTTGGGGCAGAATCCGTAATCTACTCGCGAAACTACGCAGCATACCGCGCACGTAATAAATTCCAAAAATTTGGAACGTAAATCCTTCAGGAATGCAAAATAAATTATTTTTTTTGCATTATTTTTTGAATTATTTTTTCCGCATTTATTTTAATATTATAAACAGTGGCGTAGCCAAGGGGGGGGGGGGGGTTTAGGGGTTCAAACAATGAAAACAATTTTAAAATTAAAATTTTGATTTAGAGTACTTGGAAAATAACAAGAAAAAAAAAATGTTCTATAAAATAATCATTCAATTGAAATTCAAACATGACATATGAAGATTTCGCTATTTTAGTACCGAGTAAAAAGAGTACATTCCGATGTTTGGTTGGTTCGGTTTCGTTGCTATAAACTTGACGTGCCACGAAACAATTGCACGTCAGAATGATAACAACAAACAAGCGACGGTACAACAACAAAACCATGTTATGCCTCAGTCGCTCACAATAAAACGATAGTCGTCGCAGCCCGTGTATATTGAACTAGCCGGTATTACTGAAATATAGTGTGCTTTGATTTAAAATTAAAAAAAATAAAATTTCATTTGTGTGTGTGTGGGACATAGTGAATTTCGTATAAATTTGTGAACATTACACAGTAGGACTTTTCTGACCCGCAGTATTGTCTCACTCACGTATTTATTCAGTTTGCACAGTTTTTTTTCACTTCATTTATATTGGGTACGTTTTTTATATCAGTTACTTAGAAGTGACTAACATACAAAATGGGATAGAATTTATTTTGAGGGTTCATTCTGATATAAAACCACTGACAAGTCAGAGTGCTTGACAGACGTGACTGTTTTGTCGAACGAAAGGTGTTGCACTGACATACACAAACCCAAACACAAATACATACGCAATCGACTGAGTTAAATTGAAAAGAAAAAAAAACTGCTTGTTTACACAAAAGATATCGCGTACCAATTTTTTGCAGCGTTCATTCACCTTTGCCTCTGATCTTTCTTGTTTGCCAAAAAGAGAAAGTGCGGTCTAATTTGTGTGTGAATATGTTTGCTATCTTGCCAAAAAGTTTTCCATAAAAAAAGTCTCATATTTTTTCCACTCTCAATGTTTTGTAGGTAGAACACAATGGTGGCCCTAGCTAGAGACGAGATATTGTTGTTGTTCGATGTGGATGGAACACTGACGCAACCACGATCCAATGTCGATCCAGAATTCGAAAAGTTTATGTACGAACAAATTAAACCGCGAGCAACGATTGGCATTGTCGGTGGGTCGGATTTGGAGAAAATGTTTGAGCAATTGAATGGACGTGGCATTTTGAAGCAATTCGACTATGTGTTCCCAGGTAAACATTATTTTTTAGCCGTTAAAATTCCGGAAATTCGAATAAATGTCACCGTTTTTTTTTCTTTTCCCAGAAAATGGCCTGGTTCAAATTGAGAATGGTGTCGAAGTTGGCAAAGAATCATTGCAACAACACTTGGGCGAAGAGACTTTGCAACGTTTTATCAACTTTGTGCTGCGATATTTGTCCGAGTTGAAGTTGCCATTAAAGCGTGGAATATTTTTGGAGTTTCGTAATGGGATGATGAACGTGGGCCCGATTGGTCGCCAGTGTACCAAAGAAGAACGACTTGCCTTCAATCAATACGACAACGAGCATCATGTTCGTGAACAGATGATTGAGGTATTGCACAAAGAATTTGCCGATGTCGATTTAACGTACAGCATTGGTGGCCAAATCAGTAATAATGTTTCCACCGACGTCGTCGCATTCAACCATGGAACGGACAACGCAAACCGAACCGCCAAGAGCCAAGAAATGGAAGCAAATTTGGCTATGTTTCTTGGGCGATGACAAATTCCGCAGACAAAGACAACGTGAAGCTACGGAAAAAAGTTAGTTTGTGCCATTGATTCTTTCATCTTTGGTGCAAGATCGCATAATAAACGAAGAAAAACGACACGCAGCCCCCTAGGCGAGGGACACTCAAAACAGTCATCGTACATATATTGAGCGGGCACTATCGATGCGTTCATTTGTGTGAGTGCGATTGTGTAAACGACAACGTTCGTGTTCAATATGCGTACGATGACAGCTTCGAGCATTCCACGCGTAGAGGCGTCTTGGCGTCTTGCATCAAATCTTTCCCAAGTATTTGTATACGAAGAAAGCGACCTTGTTTGGTGTTTTTGAATCATAAGAGTAATTTTTTTTTGAATATTTTCAGGCGGAAACAAAAAGCGATACATCAATTCGGTTTCATTAATTGATCGCAGTGCTCGCATCGGCTTTCCACTTTCATTTGGAATACAGTGGAACCTCGGAAATTAGAAGATCCAGAAATTAGAATTCCTCCGAAATTAGAAGAGAATTCTCCGCTCCATTGCTGCTTCTGAAATTAGAAGATTGTCTTCTAATTTCAGAGGTACTTTTTTAAATGCTTATTTAATGCAATGCAGCTATTGTATCGAACGAAAAATATTTTAAATGGAACAAAGTATCGATTGGAATTTCTTGAATTGAATCACTATTTGTGGTTTTTTTCGAAAATTTTGAGCCTCAGCTTCAAAATCTCGAAACAAAACATATTAATGTGAATTCTATTTGAAAGTGAAAATTTTTAGGAACATTTCATCGTTAAAATATACAATCATGGTTGATTTGAAGCAAATTGAACTCAAAATCTTCTGGAAATATGTTCGATTTTCGTCCAAAAATGAACAAATTTAGTTTTTTGGATTCGGATTGCTCCAAATTTACTTTATATTCGTTTTTTTATGGAAAAAAATACATCTCCATAGTTTTTATAATCTTTCATCTCGAAATAAATGAATTGTTTTGTCTGATAATTCTTCTAATTTAATTGGAATATTATTGAAAAGAATTATTAAGGCAGAGTATCAAAAATATTGGAATCTTGTTAAAAGTATGTTTCAAAGTTATATTTTTATTTGGGAATTTCGTTCTGGTGTTACTGTAGTGTCATTTTGTTCATTTGACTGTAAAATTAATGCAAAAAAATTTGCCTCCGAAATTAGAAGAATTCAGAAATTAGAAGTACCCGAAGTACAAACACCTTCTAATTTCCGAGGTTCCACTGTACTAATTCTACTCTATTGGCTGATTTATGTCACTTATCAAGATGACTTTCCCTTGATCAAGCAACAAGGACGTGCGCAGTAAACGTTTTTTCAATCGCCAATCACCATAAAATTCTATCGTGCATGTGGTTTCACTGAAAATTGAAACTGTTTTAGCTTGTTCTGAAAAGTTATACTTCGTCAAAACCGAAATTATTTATTTATTCAGACATATATTCATTCAAAAACATAGCACTATCCTACCAACATAGCACTATCCTACCAACTAATCAAATTTTATTCAACTCGAGCTAATGCTTTAGAATTATCCATTATAACACGATTTCAAATTATATTTAATGAAGTCTAAATATTACAATTCGCACCAAACAGCCAGCAAATGTCTTTGAATGTTCGTTGAAATCAGAATAAAATAATGTAAAAACGATATTTGCTCACTCCTCTTTCAATTCATTTATAATTTTTACACCTATTTGCAAGTCGGTCAGTATTATCGGTTGTAAACAAACAAACAACAACAGTCAAAGGGGATGTTTCTCTGTTGCGTGGCCTTTCAGTGACAACAGCTGTGCGACAGCTCAGATTTTTTTGTGGATCCACTTTTATCCCCATATTCATTCCATTTTGTTTTATTTAAATCTCGCCTGTTTAAATCGTGCACAATGATACAAATCACGGACCAATTCCAAAATAATATCCCTGGGTATAGGTTATGGCAACGATAGAATCAAACTAGGTGTTTTGCATATCAACCTTCATGACGATTATGATGAATCTAAGGGTGGATGCCGTCATTTCGTTCGGATCGCACAACCAATCTGCTTGCCACAATCCGAATTCGTTGGTTACACTGGAAAATTGGCCACGATTACGGGCTGGATAGACAGTGGGAATGTCAATAAATACCATTTACATCAAATCAGTGTTCCAAACAAACGAAGGAACAACATTTGCAAGAAACAAATAGTAAGTATTCGCCACACTGACACTGTGTCAAGTGGACATCGCTCGATGCAACACATTTCGTTCGTCTCTCCTCTCTTCTCTTCTTTCGCACGCACACTCACTCCGATTATGTGTAAACCAATGTATATGCATGTCCGCGCTTGAATGTAGAGCGCTTGTTCACTCACAGCTACGTTCGTAGTCACTGCATTCAGTTACTGAGATCTCATCAGAAAATTGAATATCTATGCTGAAATGATTCTCTGCAATCAAAGCGCTCTTTTCAAATCCAGAATTCAGAAGAATGTTTATCGAATACAATTCAAACAAACATTCGTGTGTTCAAGGAACTTATCAAGACTACTGTTGTGGTAATGTGAGCCAGAACGACCCGTTTTTTCGACGTAAAGATACAGTAGTCATTCAGTTTGGGATGGATGAAGTTGAACTTTGCTGTGGCCTTAAGTCAAAAGCCACGGTACACAAAGTCTTTGCCGTATACTTCAGAATAAGAAACACACCGATTCGATTCAATTCCAAATTAAATAACATGTGGATGTGGCGAAGATAATATCATGGATGAGTTGCGGAGAGAAATGGAAATGCTGGAAAGAGACGGAATTGATATTGACGATCTCCATATAAAAGTTGGTGTTTTTGATGTCGCCTGTGATTATTTGGGTGCAAATGTGTCATTTAGTTTTGCTGGAAGTTTCAGTGCGGAGTTCTTCTGTCGATTTTGTGTTAGCACTAAGAAAGAAATACACACAAGGATTCAAGAGGTTATTTCAAACAGAAGAACGATTTCACAGTACAATGATCAGTTGAGAAGACAAAAATCGAACCCGAATTTAAGCCTGAAAGAAACGAAGGGAATACACAAAAATTGTTTGCTGAATGAGCTAGAACACTTTCACGTTATTTCACATCCGAGCATCGACATTAGACTGCTTCAAAAAAAAAAGTTGTCCCTCATCTGGAATGTCCGGCCAGTTTCGAAAAATATACCTCAAAAAAATAGATTCTGTCTAAAAAAATGACATGGGTACCATATAAAAAACCATAACAAGCCCCACATCAAAATTTTCATGACAGTATTTTTGGAAGCCATTTTAGATCGCAACATTTCAACCAATTTCATTATCCCAGCTAATTTTCGGCGAAAACTGATGATGAGGTTTTGTCGGGCTCGTCAATATCTAGAACTTTTACCAAGACATCAGCCCTTTGAAAGGCCTTCTGGGCCAGTTACAGTGTAAAATGACCAGAAAAATGACAATTTTTCGGCATTTTTTGCATTTTTCGCTTTACTGGTCACCCAGGCGGTGGACTTTTGTTCAGTTTT